GATTTCAGTTTGATCAATTTTGTTACTTGACGGATGCCTCCCACGTGAATCCAATACAGCATGTACCTCATGTTTTGTTAAGCACCTGTACACCCTACCCCAACTGAGGTTTATGGTATTCAAAAAATATTTCTTACAAACTAAAGTGCTTTTATCTTTTAGATCGAGATAATATTCAAAAGTACGTGACCGAAAGCCTCTACTTCCATCCCAAATACGAGATCTTTGTGGTACTTTGATCTTTATAGCGCCTCGTAGAAATGTATTTTGCTTTGAATAATCTTTAAGCTTCCAAAATGAAGTGAAAAACATTTCGCGCTGCTCTTCTGTCACTTTATCTTTACATTTCGCTGGACACTTGCAATCATAATTCTGTTTAAATTGTTTTGCCGGTATGGATTTACCTTTACGCGTAGTGTAGGCTTGACCACTATTTCTGAGTAACTTATTAACATTTTGTTTCCAAGAATCTTCATCTCTTTCTCGCTTACGACCTATTTGCTTATATCTTTTCTTTCTACTGGTACTAGTGCAAGTAGAAGGTACATCATCAACAGCACTATTACATTCTTCTATATCTAACAGCGAAACTGACGAAATAACAGTTGATACTGTTTCTTTATTATTATTACAAAAATCTAAAATAGTATCTATAGTAGTTTTATTATGTTGGAAACGTGTGTATTACACAGTAAAATTTCGTTATAACGCTCCCGTTCATAAGTTTTCACGGTTTTAAACGCTCTTATTCTGTGATCCCGGACCCAAATGATGATTTTCCACACAAAACTAATTCGTTATAACTTATAACGCTCCGAATTCCCGGTTATAATGCTTCGATGGAGATAATTGGAGATATTTGTTACCGTCTCTTTTTGAAAATAAACATATCTGTTGTGGTTTTCGGATTTTACAAAAGTAAACTTTTTGTTTAAACGGATAGAAATTTAAAAGTAAGTTTTAGCATCTTTATGATTTCTCAGTTATAGCGTTTTCCCGGTTATGGCGCTCTTTTTCTTATGTCCTTAGAAGAGTGTTATAACGAATTTTTACTGTTTATGTATATAGCATGGTCAGAAAGACTTAAGTCTTCGAATTCTTTATTAGAACCTGTGTTCAAATCCATCACTAAATTAACCACACAAGAAATTCACATGAAGATTGCAATGACAGATTATAAAAAGAGCTGTCAGCGACAGTTGAGAGTTCTGACTTAGCCCACTTTATCACAGAATCCTAAGCTACTTGGACTTGGTTCATTTTTTCAATGAAAAATGGTGCAAATCATTCAGTATTAAAGCGTAAGTACATTATTGGTAACCTGATGAACTAAGTATTGAATAAGTCAGCACATAAAATTATAACTATTCAAACGGACCTAAGTATACTCTTAACTAAATTTTAGAAAAAAATAGACTTGGTTCACTTTCCTTCTGACCCACTCATATATCCTATCATAAACTACAATATTTAAGCTACAATTTAATATACATATCATATCAAAATCTTTAAAAATACAGTTTTTTTTTATTTGGTTCAATTGTTACATACAGAAATAATGTTACTTAAAAAATAAATATTTGTTTTCTTGGAACATAGTAACCAGTATCTTAGATACATAAAAAGGTAATTTGATAATAGAAGTATGTATTTAATAAAAATGCTCGCTACTTATGTTTTTTATTTATTACATATTTAAATACTTTATATAAAAATAGACTTGATAAGCATTGTTGATACCTGGAGTATTATTAAAATTGAAATATTAAATTTTAGTGATGTAACGGATATCCGCATCCGCATATATTTTAACGAAGCTCTGGTCAGACTGGCAATTTCATGCAAAGTATGAAACAAAATTAATTACAAAATTAATAATTATAATTAATGCTTTGGATATATAATTTAATTATCATTTTTAAAGAGCAATGACAGTTTTTCCTTTAGATCCTTTAAATTTTCAAACTAGTATTCAATGATTCCACATCCGTATCACTATTTAATAAATTTTCTTCTTTCTCTATGCACTCACTGTTTCGATAATTCATTTTGCAGGATACGTTTCCTAGTATTACAGGAGAGGTTTCCAGCACATTACTTTATATTGTAATGTAATTGTACATTTGTCACCAAGTACGAATTGAGCGCCGTTCGATCTGCTTGGCCATTGGTCGTCAACCCGACCTACGGATCGGACGGTCGCCAACCAACCACAACGCCCGGTTGATAGGGTTTTACCCAAGGGCGCCTATTTAAGGCGGCCGGGTTTCCATCAGCGGTCAATTCCAACCGAACTCCGAAGCGACAACATCAGCGACAACGATAACAGCGACAACAGCAGCGACAACAAGCCAGCACTTCAACCGCCAATTCGAAGACGACCCCTTTCGTCTTAAAAAAACCTTTGAGGGTTTTTTTTTGTACATATTTTGTAAATAAATTATTTCGTTTTATTCAACAACTGTTGTTTCTTCTTCGGCGCAATCCATCCCCCGTAACACATTCATGTGTTGTTATAATTATAATTGTATATTTAAGTGTTGTTATCTATTTTTTTTGGTAATAATGTAAGTAATAGCGTTTTTCTTCCCAGAAAATGCCTAGAAGTAAGCAAAATAAAACGAGGCCTGCAATAGATGTTGGCACATTGCAAAGAGATAATAATGCAAAAGTGTGTACCACAGCTAAAATGTTTGGAATTTCCAATACTATTCTTTTTCGTCATGTCTCCTTACACCGGTCACAAAATGAGAATAATGCACAGAGAAATCCAAATAACTTAGAGATTAATAGATTTAGAGATGAGAAATCTAGATAATAACTTTAACCTGAAAAATTTAGGTTGAGAAGGGTTATGGATTATGTTCTATTGGTTCATTACCAACAATTTATATTTATCAAACATCTCTCCATCGCTTTTAATTTTCGAGATACGAATGTTTGATTTTAGTAATTAAAATAATCAATTTTGAAATCCAGTGATTTCTTACTTAATAACTAGTAACCTGAAAAATTTAGGTGGACAAGGGTTATGGATTATGTTCTATTTGTTCATTACCAACAATTTATGTTTATCAAACATTTCTCCATCGCTTTTAATTTTCGAGATACGAATGTTTGATTTTAGTAATTAAAATAATCAATTTTGGAATTCAGCGATTTCTTACTTAATAACTAGTAACTTGAAAAATTTAGGTTGAGAAGGGTTATGGATTATGTTCTATTGGTTCATTAGGAAAAATTTATGTTTATTAAACATTTCTCCATCGCTTTTAATTTTCAAGATACGAATTTTTGATTTTAGTAATTAAAATAATCAATTTTGAATTTCAGCGATTTCTTACTTAATAACTAGTAACCTGAAAAATTTAGGTTGAGAAGGGTTATGGATTATGTTCTATTGGTTCATTACCAACAATTTATGTTTATGAGACATTTCTCCAATCGCTTTTAATTTTGGAGATAAGAATTTTTGATTTTAGTAATTAAAATAATCAATTTTGAAATTCAGCGATTTCTTACTTAACTAGTAACTAATAACCTAAAATAATAACTAACTAGTAACCTGAAAAATGTAGGGTGAGAAGGGTTATGGATTAAGTTCTATTGATTCATTGATTGACATTCTGAAAATGTCGTATTATTTTAATTTATGAATTTTGCAATTTCTCATTTAATTTTTTTTCTGGAAATTTCAATAATATTATCATATGGTTATTATATCACATCATAAACTAGAATCTTTAGGCTACAATATAACATACATATCACACCATGATCTTTAAAAATACAGTCGCTATGATTTTTTGAAAATGTGTTGTTATGATTTATAAATTAAACAATTTCTTCTTTAATATTTTTTTCCTAGAAATTTCAATAATGTTATCTTATAGTTTTTATATCATATCATAAACTAGAATGTTTAAGCTATAATTTAATATACATATACAGAGTGTCCCACGTAAACGGCAATACGTAAGTACATAAATGGCATTAACAAGCTGAGATACGCAGTTCTTCTTTAGACAAAAGTTGTAGGAAATTTACCACACTATAAACTAAAAATATTTTTATACATACAGGATGTTCTATAACGACGTACCGAAATAAATACATGTTATATTAAATGGAATGATATAGTTTTTATTGTGTGTTCTGATTCTATACACAAAAATATGTTTACTTTGATAAGATATCCTTGGATATCCTTAAATAGAGCACCATTGGCTACATCGGTCTATATTATACAGGATGGTCAAAAATATAAATACTGTTTTACCATATTCAATTGCAAAAATTTTACATGGAACACCCAATATTTGACTAGCTTATGAGATAGAGAATTTATATTCTCTATCTCATGATTAATCAAAATTACGCAATGAATGACAGATTTTATTTTATTTTTTTTATTAGTAGGCCATGAAATATATACGTTTGACAGCTTTCAAGTGATCCCACCATAATTATTTGTAATTTTACAGGTGGTAAGCGTTGACTTGATCCAAGTTTAAAAAAAAAACAAATTAACGGTATAGTAGAAACCACGAGAGCTGGCAGTGACAGATCGCTTAAAAATGGTATGAATCAAGATATGGACGTACGACTTAGATTATTTCACCACAAACATTTAAATGTAGGTTATGTTAGTAATGGAGGTTATATGTCAAAGATTGTCAAAAATATTATTTAATGATTTTCCTTTCAAAGAAAACATTTTCGGCTTGTGCAAACACTGACAGATTCATGACAACGCTCACAAGACGTTTCGACTTGAGGTTATAATTATAGAGTTACATCCCTTATGCCCGTTTGCACCGTTTTTGAGTTAAGCTTTGCTTAACTAAGCGTCCTTTAATTTTTAAGCCAAGCTTTAAATGTAATCCGTTGCACCGCAATATATTTAAGAAAGTTTAGTAAAGCAAAAATAAACTCGGCAACAACGCACTAAATCGGTGAAAATGGGAAACTGTATTACCGATAATCGATAATTAATCTTTTATAAATGTTATATAATAATGTTGATATTTTATAATAGACGGTTAAAGTAATTTATCATCTCATTTCTTCTGACATTTCCTTGAATATTATCGCCATTAATTACTTCTGGTATATTTCCTACTTGAATTAGATTTTCAAATTCATCTGCATTTATATCAGGTTCCGGGGGTTCTTCTTCATGCATAGTAATACTTATATTATGTAGTACTGCTGATGCTACAATTACAGCGTAAGCAGTGGCTAATTTTAACCTAATGCCATATGCTAATATGGGAAATCGCCTTTTCCATACACCAAACAAGCGTTCAACAGTGTTTCGTGTTGTGATATGGGCCTTATTGTACAATTTTTCTGCTGCAGTTTCTGGATTTTGTAATGGTGTTAGCAGATATTTACCTACACCATAACCACTATCACCTATAACATGGTAATTATGTTAATGGTTCAAGGAATGTCATTTTACAATTTACCTAGAATAATTCCATTTCTAAATTCTCCACCTTCTAGCCTAGCACGTATTCTACTATTTGAATAAATAGTCATGTCATGTGTTGATCCTGGCCATCGTGCTACAATATCTTGCACCTTAAGGTCAGAATCTCCCACAACTTGGACATTTATAGAGAAATAGCCTTTCCTGTTTCTGAATATCTCACCATCTTCTCCTCCTAGAATATATTATTTATTTATTTAGTTAAGGTTCTTTTTTATTGAATTATGTCAATATACCTGGAGATTGTATCTTTATGTGGGTGCCATCAATGCATCCTACAATACTTGGAAATAATGCAATATTATAAAAATCTCTTTGTATTTTTTGAAT